GTTCTAAATTCAAATATGCCTGTGAGTTGTGAGCATTCGTAAACCATTTTGAGCCTAAACAGTTGAATCCTTGCTTAAAAAGCAAGAGTTCAAAAATCTTGTTCTTAAAACCTTGGAGATTTTGATTCATTGTTCTTTTGCTAAAAAAAAAGAGTAAGAGCATTCACTTAGGGGACGAGAACAGACAAGTTGGGGAGAATGAAAGTAAGGTGGTTAAGTTTTCACAACTAGTGAGAAACCAAGCAAGCATTGAAAAGAAAATATAAAAAAAAAAAAAAAAAAAAACACTCGTTTTTGCGATTACAGTGTAGAAAAAAAAATATAAATATATATATGAAAATATTTGCTTGTTTGGTAGACAAATATTGAAAAACAAAGTTAGTTGTGAAATATGAGTTGTGAAGGGTTTCAAATGAGGAACTTGTTAAACAAGTTGAAGATGTGTAAATAAGTGATGAGTGAATGTCTCTCCTACATCGGAAATTTCGTTCAATGGCTTTAGATATGTCCCTTGTTTGTTAACCCGGCCAAGCTATAACCTTTGAAGACCTTTGTGATCTTGAACTTCCATAATTTTGTGGTGAATATGTAGATATTTTATGAATTATGTAGTATTGCATTGTTCATCATTGGAGTGAATTTTTGTCCCACGCTTGCACGTGTTTTTGCTTCAATCCTTTTTCGAAGTGGAGTGTTAGAATGACTTGTCACGAGATTTAGTTGTTGCTTGAAGCATTGTTTAAAATTTGTTCTTAGAATTTAGTTCTTAAACATTATCTATTGTGTAATTATGTAATATTTTGTGACCTTGTTGCACATATTGTGTATTTGAGCCATATAGTTTCACTTGAGTTGAATTGGTCTTGAGCAAATCCTCATTTTGTTTTGAGAGGCATACTTTGCTTGAGGGCACGCAAATAGGTAGTTGGGGAGAGTTGTTAGATCCCATTTAGATTAGATATTTGGTTTCTTTTTGGTAGTATTTTCACTCAATTTTATCTAATAATGTTTGATTTCGTAGTTGAATTGGTTTAGTTTGATTTTATGCGATCCAAGCGAAGAATGTTTGTAATATTGCTGTTAGTGTGCAGGATTGACACTATTAAGAGCACTTGGGATCAAGGCAAAGCAGTTGGGAGATGTTGCAAATCAGGACATTCGCCTGGCGAGCCACAGCGAGTGCCAGCGAATATTCGCCAGGCGAGTGCAGGCGAACTGGGGCGAATAAATCAGATTTAACTCCCAGACCCAAAGGATAGGAAGTTCGCCAGGCGAAGGTTCCAGCGAAGCTTCGCTACCATTCGCCTGGCGAAGGTGCTGGCGAAGAAGTGGTAGCTTTCCTCATGCAGATTCCAGTAGCAAAACCACCCAAAGTTCGCCTGGCGAGTGAAGCCAGCGAATGTTCGCCCGGCGAGTGTTTATTCGCCTGGCGAATGCACGATTCCTTAGGGCGGTTTGCTGATCAAAGGCACTTTGAAGTACCATGTTAAGTTGGTTCGTCGGGCGAATGAATGCCTTCGCCAGGCGAATGTGCGCAGACAGCACATCATTTTTACTTTATTTGTTGCTCTATTTAGCCCATACTTGGTACTTGAAAGGGGAGAGTCTTGCCAAATCAGAAAAAATCATTATTGGATAGCTCTAGAACCCTAAATACTTGAGTTCTTCTTCATCTTTACTATTTTTGGTAATCAAGAGAAGTGGAAGCACATCCTTCATTGTTTCTTCAAAGTGGATGTTCTTCATCTTCTCCTTTCTTCTTGTTAAAGCTACCATGAAAATGTGTAGCTAAACTCATCTTTTGTCAAGGTTAGATGTAGGTAATTATTAAACTTTGTATGTGTATGGATGATCATCATTTGTAAACTCTTGAATGATTAATATAAGGTGAAAACTTTGTTTCATTTACAATCTTTTGTGTTGGTTGATGATTGAGAAATATTTTCCAACTCTAGACCTAGGTTTTCATCCTTCTCTTTTCTTGAGCTAGAGATAGTCTTGAAATGTTTTGTTCACTTATAATGTTGAACTTTAAAGTTGTCATTTGATAGATTGTGTGAGAGATCAACAATGGATCAAAATGGTAAATCTCACAATATGAGTTAGAGATAATCATATTGAGAGGATGTTGTGGATGTATTGATCATTAAAAGGAGTTTGTTAAATGTTGTTTGGAAATATGCATGCAAAGTGATTACCGAACCCTAACTTTGGCAATATTTATTAAAACCGTTCAAATCATTATTTTACCGCATTTATTACTCACATGCAAAAGTTACCATTGTTTTAAAACCAAACACTTTGTTACTACAAAGTTACGAATTTAACAACTGTAGAAAGGCTGCAAAATTTCATATTCCCTGTGGAGACGATAACAAAAACCCGACACTCAACCACTGTTTTAACAATTATGTCAACCGAGCTCCCGCCGTCGACGAGGAGGCGCCTAACGTCGAAGTTTGCCATTCGGGCACGTATGAGCAAGGGTATGTTGGAATTGGGAGATCCCCCGGGTAGTTCCTCGAGGTAGAATGTGATCGGGTTGGAGCGGCCCCGGAATTTGTCGAGCGTGCTCATCTTGCCGGAGTTGCCTGCGATGAGTTCGTCGAATCTCCTTTTCACAGATCCTATGGACAGACTCCTCGTAGCTCCATCAGAGATGACCATGGCTCTGGGGAAGTATTCCCATCGGCTGGTTGGTCGGATTGGCTCGTCGACTAGGCTGGGTCCTTCGGGGATGCCGAATCCTCTGCTCGCGAACCAATCCTCGGGGCGGCTGACGCACAGCGCGACCTAGAGTCTCCCGCCGTCCTCTGGAGAGGGGAGTTCCTCGATTTTCTTAGCCTCCGGAGCCTCTGACCTGGGTGGTTCACCTCCTCGGGTGTATCGCTTTAGGTGCCCGTCTTTGATTAGGATTTCGATCGCATCTTTGAGATGGATGCAGTCTTCCGTTACGTGCCCGTGGGTCCTGTGGAATCGGCAGTACTTTGACTTGTCCACGTTGGGTTTGGGCGGCGTTGGTCGTGGAAAACAGACACCTCCCTGCACAAACTCGGTTTTAGCGCATTCGGCCAGTATGCGTTCGCGTGAAGCGACCAGAGCGGTGTATTCGGTGAATCTTCCTGCCGGGCCGCGTGGCTCGCGCTGTTCGCGGGGTTCGCGGGGGCGGTCTTCCCGACGGCGGTCCCCTCCTCGTCGGTGGCTCGAAGCTCCATCGTCTCGGTGCCCGCGGGGGGCTTCTCTGTCTCGGGTGTCGCGAGCGGAGTTGGCCGCTTGTGTTTCCTCGAACCGGATGTAATGCGCGGCCCTGTCGAGGAAGTCTTGGAGGGACGTGGGCCGGTGTATGCCTACGGCCTCGTAGAATTTGGAGTCGTGGCGCAGGCCTTGTTCCATTAAGTAGCGTTTCATTTCGTCGGAAGTCGTCACCTGCACGGCTTCCCGAGTAAACCTTTCGATTTATTTCCGGAGAGGTTCGTCGGGGCCTTGGATGATTGCCCCGAGGACTGCTTCCGTCTTCGGGTGACGCCGGGACGCCGTGAAGTGTTTGGAGAATAGGTCCTTCAAGACCCTCCACGACGTAACTGATTCGGGCTCCAGACTTTTGTACCAGGTCATAGCGCCTTTCCTCAGAGTCGTCGGGAAGAGTCTGCATTTAATAGCTCCCCGGACGTTTCGGTAGTCGAGCATAGCCTCGATATCTTCCAGATGATCGTCCGGGTCGGAGGTGCCGTCGTACGTTGACAGCGTCGGTGGTTTCTCCATTCCCTGGGGTATGGGGGCTGCCATGATCTCCCGGGATAGTGGGGTGCGGTAGTCATCCTCGTCGCTGTGCGCCGGGGATCTCAGGGGAGATGAGCCGTTCGCGGTGTGTCCCGGGTTTCGGGTCCTTGATCTTCGGCCTGAGTTCCCGCCTCGGGGTTCCTCGGTTGGGATCACCGCGGCGTTCAGGTTCCTCCCGCGACCGTGTCTCGCCGGGGATCTGGTGCGCTCCCGTGTCGCCTGCGGGCGGTGTCTCTCCAGCCGTGGCCGGTGGTTCCTGAGTCGAGGCGAGGGGCTCCTCGAACCTCCGTTCTGGTCTTCCCGCTGGGGGTACCTCGGGGAGCCGACGCGTTCCAATGCTCCAATTCTAGCATTCTGTTGGAACAGCAACTGGTTCGTCTGGTTGATGGCTGCAAAGAGAGCGGCTACCGTTGGGTCTGCTCCCGCCGGGATGGGAACGAGGTGGAATGCTGGCGGGCTCGGGGGGCGGTGGTCGGCCTGTAGGGGCCGTTCCTCGGATGATGGTGAAGCAGTTCGCCCGTCCCTTTCGTCGGCTTCCGTCAGACGTGCCGTTCCCATCTGCTTCACGTTGGTGGCGGTGTTGAGCGCAAGATCGTGCGGAGTGTCATCGCGGCGTGGGCTGGCCATGACCGTGGAGGTTTGGTGAGGCCCATACCGGAACAATAATGTTAGTTTACTTGCGGATACCTCTTTAACCTAGTCGATTTTCTCTATAGATACGTATCCCCTCTAAGATTGTCTTTAACTTTCACTTTAATATTATAAAATTAAATTAAATTTAAAATAAATTTAATCCAAAATTGATCTAATACATGTTTCAAGTTTTCTTATTATAGGACAATGGAGTAAAACACAAGACTACCACCATTTTTGAAAAATGAGACCCACTTTTAACTTTATACTTTAAAAAAGCAAGTATGGTTAACACTAGCCTTGGATTAATAGAGAAAAGTGAGTTAGATTTTATTCATGAATTCTTTTCTTTTCTTGCTGAAAATGAAATACATTTTCTCAACAAGTGGCAATATCGTGAATCCCACAAAAAGACAATATAAGCGAAAACGACATTACACGATTTATTCACTATGGCGGTTCGTTTTGTAATTTCAGAAACCAACACTGTCTTTAAAACCAAACCACCTTAAACCTCATGTTCTCATACATACTCAACCTCACAACAAAAACTCAAGCTCAAAACAAAAACCGTGACAAAGAAAAACATGCAACCCTCTTATTGTGTGAAGGAAAATAAACCCTGTGTGGGTTGGGTTCAAAACTACTTCAGTGACTGTCTCTGCAATTTGAATGATGATATCTCATTCACTTTAGGTTTCATCAGTTTACTTTGTTGGGGTGCTGCTGAAATTCCTCAGCTTATTACTAATTTTCGTGCTAAGTCTAGTCATGGTGTTTCTCTTGTTTTTCTTCTCACTTGGGTTGCTGGGTTAGTACATTTATGGTAATTAATTATGTTAATTACAGTAATTATTTTTTTATTAATGTTATATTCTGTTAAATTATTTGGTTGCAGAGATATTTTCAACTTGGTGGGTTGTATTCTAGAACCAGCTACGGTATGTGATTCTGATTTCTCAAACATAACATTGTAAAATGGTTTTCTTTTCTTTTCTCAAACACAATGGTATTTGAAGATAGAGAAAATTTCAGACATTTGTTATTTTTAATAAATATTATATGATACTTAACTAAAGATTATTCCGAATATTATTTAGAAAATATATATATATAAAATATTGTAATAACTCAATTAAATTGACATAGGTGGAAGAACGTAGAATTTGGTGTCTTTTTAAGTGTATTACACTTGTCATTTTGTCTCTTTGTTGTCAATAGTTATCTACTCTTGTTCTATTATAATATTTCTATTTTGCTTTATAAATGTTTAATAATTTTTTAATTATGTAAACACTTGTGAATATTTAATTATATTTTACCGACTTCATCCACTCTATAATATTCTCTTTTGAACACATGCATGCACATAAGATTATTGTCATTATTGTGATTACTTTTATTTAATTATGTTTTTGGTGTTGTGTTTTTTCCTTTGTGCTCTTTGGATGGCTGGAACTGCAGTTGCCAACCCAATACTACACAGCTCTGGTAATTAAAATAGAACTATCAAAATATTAGTGAGAATAATTTATTTATGTGAGAAAAATTAGTAATTATTGAATTAAATCGTCTAATAAAATATTCAAACATTTTTATAGTTTATTGTTGATTAGAATTGCAACCTTAAATTTATACTAATGGCATGTTTTTTTACTGTGATTATTAACAGCTTTACACAATCACAACCATTGTATTAGTATTGCAAAGCTTATATTATGACTACATCTATAAATGCCGCAACCGTCGTCAAAAAATCAACATCGAAGAGGTTCTTTTACGATTAAGCCCTTTTTTCAAATTAAAATTGTGAAACAAATATAAAATTTTAGTCGTTCAAAATAAATTAATGTTACATTATTCTTATATTTTTGTTATTATTATGTTATAATATAATAGGCTTATGAGGAAGAGAAAAAACCATTGAAACCAAAACAAGCACTTGAGTCAGGGATTCCAATAAGAAGTGGCAAACACAGATCAGTTCCTAGTAAACCAGAGTATTACTATGGGTAAGTAATCATGTTTAAATTGTTAATTAATATATCTCTGATACTATTTATAAGGGAAAATTGTATTCTTTAGATTTTTTGAATAAACCATGTATCTGAATTGTATCACGGATCAGATACATTGATTATTCAATAAATTTAAAAAGTCAATTTTTCTTATAAATAGAACTAGAATGAATATTAGATTAAGAAACTTTCTGAAGTGAGTTTTGAATTGTTGAGTTAACTGAACAGATCAGCAAGATCATTGGCCGGTAATATGACTCCGCCGTCTCGAACATACTTGAGAGTTGCTAAAAGTGGACCATCAGCAATGGGATTAAATGAAGATTCATCTTCCGACGACGAGGCACATGCACCTCCTACAACCCAACCCAGACTAATCCCTCGTTCCGCGGTGAGTGAATTTGAGAAAATCACGGTGTTGCCGATAGAATTATAGTGTTTCGTCGTGATCTTAATAGTGTCACACAATGTAACAATTGCAAACTATGTTTTTAATAATGTTAATTTCGAAGATGAATTTTATTGTAAATATATAGAAGTTAAGGGACTAATTTGAAAATACTATTGTACATGTTTCAGGGAAGCTATGGAACATTTCTAGCAACATCAATTAGCTTGCCCCTGCAGGGTAATGCTTTGAAAGTGGGATACATAGCACTAACCGGAAGAAAACTACTCTCCCAAGTATGTTACAAATAATAGTTTTGGCACTTTTGATTTTTGATTTTAGAGTCCAAAAGTTTATGAATAACAATGTCGTATCTCCTGAGTCATACTCAACACTTTAAATATTCATAACTGCATTTGCTTGTGCTGCTACTAATTAGAATTCATGACAGGAACATGCAACACATCACAGTGCATTGGGTCAATGGTTGGGATGGCTCATGGCTGCTATCTATTGCGGCGGTCGAATACCTCAAATATGGTTAAATGTATGTCTAAAATTTTTATTTAATTTTACTCTTTCTTTTTTTATTATTCTAACTTATTAATGTTGTTGCTACATGATTATTTGCCAGATTAAAAGAGGGAGTGTTGAGGTAATATTCTATCTTAATAATTTCTTGTCTTCATATTATTTATATAAAAAAATAATAATCTCGTTTATCTGCGATTTCTGAATAAACTTGATTATTTAATTATTTATCAGAATTCACAAATCTACCTATAGTCTAACTTTTATGGACGATTTCTCTTTTAATCATGTAGGGGTTAAATCCTTTCATGTTCATCTTTGCGCTGGTTGCCAATACCACTTATGTGGGAAGGTTATTATTCGTACTCACTTTACTTTCTCAAATTAATGAGAATCGTGTTTAGTATTTGTGTCAATGATTTATAGAAAGTTTGCGAGAAATCTGACTCATTTAATTGTCATTGCAGTATTCTTGTAAGAACTACAGAATGGGAGAGTATCAAAGCTAATATGCCATGGTTATTGGATGCAGTAGTTTGCGTTGCATTGGACCTATTTGTATCCTTTATACTTAGTTTTTTATGGGCTATCTTAAATCTTAATTATACTCTAATGGCGATGAGGTGCTTTTGTGATAAAGTTGAAAAACCTTAACAATGAAACAGATAATATTGCAGTACATCAATTACAGATACAATCGGAAGACAACTGCAAATGATGATTATGGTAACTATGAAAACCACAAAGTGAGAAAAAGTATTGTTTCTTGATTTGTGGACATGTAACTTTAATTTTGATTTGAATATTAGAACAATGTTATAGTATAATTTTAGTTCACAATAACATTCAGCTCTTAGTGGTTGGGTCAATATGATGTGGTGTTGGAATATTTGATATATGTTAATTACAAGTGTGCGGCACTTAGCTATATGAGAATTTTTTTTTTTTAATATAGTGGAGAGAATTTTTAAAAAGTACAAAATTTTGTAGACAGAGGATCCTTTACTGTTAGAACAATAACTTGTTTATGAAGGAAGTGGAAGATGAGAGCTTCACCAATGAGTACAAGTTTTGCTTGTTTGTATATTGATTTTTTAGTTAGCATTACAAGATCAAGTAAGTTTATTCATTCTATACTTGCTTGAAGTTTTGCTTGTTTGTATATTGATTTTTTAGTTAGCATTACAAGATCAAGTAAGTTTATACATTCTATACTTGCTTGAGATGGTTGTATCTAACTTAAAAGTTAGTTACATACCTAACTAACTATTTAGCATGGATGTACATCATTCAACATACACATACATAGACTATTATCATATGTCCACATATTCTTTTTTAATACATTCTCTCAAGATCACAATGGTTTCAACAAAACCATTTTGAGCTTACTTTGAAAATCTGAAAACATGGTTATTGGTAGTGGTTTGGTGAGTGCATCAACTAGTTGTGCATAAGCCGGTACATGTTGGATGTGAAGATGTTTGACCACAACTCTCCTTAACAAAATGGATATCAAGTCCAATATGCTTGGTCCTTGCGTGAAGTAGGGCTATCCAAAAGCATCACCGCACTTCGATTATCACATAATAAAGTTGGCACATGATACTCAACGTTTAGCTCAGAAAGAAGAGATTCAATCCACAATATGTTTGTAGTAGTGTGTGTCATGGCCTAGTACTTTGCTTCTGAGCTTGATTAGGCTATAAGCACTTGTTTCTTTGAGCTCCAGGCTACTAGATTGGGGCCAAAAAACATACATGATCCTGAAGTTGAGCATCGATCGACAAGGTCGCTTGCCCATTTTGAGTTGTTGTAGGCACGCAGAGAGGATTTTAGAGGATGCATAGCTGGAGCAAGTGGGAATCAAGTGCTACTTATGTAGCAAAGTATTCGTTTAACTGCAGTTCATTGGGAATCAAGTGGTGAGGACGTGAATTGACATGCTTTGTTCACTGAGAAAGCAATGCCAAGTCAGATGAGGGTTAAGTATTGGAATGCCCCAACAGTGGAACGATACACAAGAGGATCAACCATGACATCAGTGTTATGTTTGCTTAATTTGCATTTAATGAACATGGGAGTGGCCATACCCTTTTCTTCAACCATATTCACTTTCGATAATAAGTCATGAACGTATTTCGTTTTTGTAAGTAAGAGGGTGGAATTAGTCTGATAATGAACTTCAATTTCAAGCAAGTATTGAGGGACACCTAACTTCTTGAGTGTAAACTTTGTGCGGAGTTTGTTTATAAGCTAATGTATTAATTTGGAGGAAGAGTCTGGTATGAGAATATCATCGACATATAGAAGTGCATACAAAGTGACATTGTGATGACTGTAAATAAAAAAGAGAATGATCACATTTGCTCGACTGAAACTCAAAGTGAACCGATGCTTAATGCAGTTTCTTGTACCATATTCACGTGGAGCCTGCTTAAGGCCATAGGTAGATTTGCCAATCCTGCACACTAGCTCTATGTTTAAAGCTATGAAGTCAGGAGGTTGTTGCATGTAACCTTCCTGTTGCAACTCTTTATTGAGGAAAGCATTGTTGATGTCAACTAGCTTGATTTCCAATTGTAAGTGAGATCCAAAGTTAGAATCACTCAAATTGTTGTGGGCTTCACCATTGGTGAAAAAGTCTCATGAAAATTGAAGCCCTGTTGTTGATGAAATCCTTTGGTGACTGAGCATGCCTTATACTTGTTTACACTACTATCAAGGTTTTCTTTGACCTTGAAAACCCATTTGCATCCAATTGGTTGTCTATTTGGAGGTAGAGTTGTGAGTTCTGAAGTACCATTGTGCATAAGGGAGTCATATTCAACTTTTATAGCTTCAAACCAACGAGCTTGGGACAATACTTGTTTGAATGAACTAGGTTCAGTGTGTGTAAGGAAGATCTTAGGTTTAGAATGTCCAATTTTAGCACGTGTGAGCATTGGATGATTAATTGCACAGGAGTTACTTGTATGACTTGAATATGAAATGAAGGGGGCAAAGAGTTTATGGATCTTGACAAGTTGTAAGTAGGTAGGTTGGACTCATAAGATTACGGCGATGGTGAATTGTGTGTGAATTCATTGGGAGGCATGGTATATGGTGAGCTTGTAACTTCATTATCAGTCTTTCGGTGAGAATTAAGTAATGACATATTTGTTTCAGACACATGAGTAGGGTTTACTTGGTAGAGAAAGAAGTGTGTTTGATTTGTGTGTTTCTAAGTCAGGTGGGGGCACATGAGTAGAGTTCCTCAATGAGGAAGGTATTGTGTAAACTTTGCATTGATCGCGTCACACCATTCAAATGATGAACAAGAGGTTGGTGATTTTGAAAAAAATGATAAACCTTCACACAATGAATTACAAAATGCATTTTGTGAATTACTTGAGAAATGTTTGACACTTTTTAGAACTTGTGCAAAACAAAAAGAAAATTATTTATCTCTAGAATTCAAGGCTAATCACACTTAAGTTTAATTAGAAAAGGTCAAAAATTCAACATGCAAAAAATGTTTATTACATGAAGCCAAAGTTGTTGAATTAAACCAAGTGATAACGAAATATGAAAAATGTCAGATTGGTTTGGAAGTGTGCTAAGTAGAAAAAAAAACTCAAATGATAAATGTGGACATGGTTTCTCTAAATTTAATAAACCAAGTACAAGCAACACAATCTTTATTAAGGCTAGCACCAAATTCAACAATGTAGAATCAAATAAAGTGCATGGTGTAATTCATCTTAAGAAGCCTAATGTTAGATGTAATTATTATCCCTATAAAATGAATCATGTCTTTAGACCTACATGTTTTTATTTCAATTCAAAAGGACATACCCCTAATGTTTGTTATATGAGAAACTATGGTGTTCCAAATAGTGAGTATGTTTTCATTGAGAAAGGAACTAACCAACAAGTAGCCAAATCACATTGGGTACCTAACAAATTTTAACTTGTTTTGTTGGTATGCTTGAAGGCCATTAATAACATGTTGTGTGTGTGTGTGTGTGTGTGTGTGTGTGTGTGTGTGTGTGTGTGTGTGTGTGTGTGTGTGTGTGTGTGTGTGTGTGTGTGTAATGATTTCTTCAAGCACATGACCCGATATAAGTCAATATTTCCATCTCTCACTCTTAAATTTAAAGAATTCGTGACATATGGAGACAACAACAAAGGAAGGATTCTTGGCATTGAAAAATTTGGCACTCCTCTATTTACAACAGTTGATGATGTTTTATATGTTGAAATATTGAAACATAAGCCAACTATGTGACGAAGGACTAAAGATCAAATTCAACAAAGATGAACACATTATAGTAGATGAAATCACACATGAAATAAATATTGTGGGAAAAATAATAAACAACATCTTCGTGATATAATTATATGACTTATATTTGAAACTTAAGAGTCTTATGGTAAATAACGATAATGGTGCATGACTTTAACACAAAAGCATAACAGATATTCAGATGGAGCATTTAAATAAACTAGTCAAGCATGACCTTCTCATTGGATTACCCAAGATTTTTTTTATCAAAGATAGGTTATGTTATGCATGTCAAAAGGGTAAGCAAACGAAAGACTCCTTCAAGCCAAAGAATGTGGTATCCACTAAATGTCTCTCTAATTGATACACATGGACTTTTTTGGTCCTTCAATGACTAGAAGCTTTAGCGATAACTTGTATTCTTTAGTTATTATTGATGACTTTTCAAGATTTACTTGGACTTTATTTTTATTACAGAAAATTGATGCATTCAAAGTATTCAAAAAGTATGCAAAACTTGTGTAAAATGAGAAATCTATGAAGATCGTGTCAATTCGAAGTGACCATGGTGGAGAAATTCAAATTGCATTATTCAAATAATTTTGTGATGAACATGGCATCTCCCACAATTTTTCAGCATCAAGAACTCCTCAACAAAATGGTGTGGTTGAAAGAAAGAATAGGTCCTTAGAAGAACTTGCAAGGGAAATGCTTAGTGAAGCAAATCTACCAAAATATTTTTGGGTAGACGCGGTAGACACGACATATTATATACTTAATTGTGTTATTATTCGACCCATTTTAAAGAAGAAACCATATGAAATTTACAAGTGAAGAAAACTAAGTATTCTCATCTTCATGTCTTTGGGTGAAAACTCTTTGTTCTAAACAATGGGAAAGGCAACCTTGGTTGTTCTCTTACTAGTAAGGCCTATAGAATATACAATAAAAGAAATCTTGTTATTGAAGAATCTATGCATATTTCTTTTGATGCGTCTAACACCTTTAAGGAGGATAAAATTATTTTTATGTGATGAAGATGATGATGGTTTATTAGAAGTACCAATAGATTTCAATATCAAAGATGATCATATTTAACAATCCAGACAACAAGATTAAATTATTCAACCAGAACAGAACTAAAATGATATTCCTCAAGAATGGAGAATCCACCGTGATCACCCAATCGACAACATTATTGGTGACATTACCAAGGACTATCTACTCGTCTAAATCTCAAGAATGCTTGTTTAAACATGACATGTTTTTCTCAAATGGAACCTTTAAAGATTAAATAATCCTTAGAGGATGATCAATGGATACTTGCCATGTAATAAGAATTAAACTAATTTGAAAGAAATAGAGTTTTGGAACTTGTTCCTAGACCAAATGGTAAACACATCATCGACACAAAATGGGTGTTTAAAAATAATCTTGATGCAAATGGAATAATTGTTTGAAACAAGAAAATATGGGTGGCTCAAGCAAATAATCAAGAAGAAG